TAAACCAAAGGAGATTTACTTTACTTCACCAAAGTACGCAACAAATCTGTATGTGGGTCCGTAGTTTCCGTTCCGTTGGCGAAAGACTCCAGACTCAAAATAAACATACTCGCAGTGGTGTTATTTCTTGTGTAAAACCATGCTCAGAACATATTTTTCATCCCAAACTTCTGAAAAGAGTTCTACAACCTGCTGGGGATGTGATAGCGAGGTTATAAAACTGTATTGATTGGGGGAATTGTTTCGTCTGGAGCAGTGATCAGTGTGTCCCATCCTTCAGCACGGTGCCACTCACTCACCGCTGTCATGGAGTTTGCAGGCACCAGGGACCGCTAGAATATGTTTTTGTAATAAAGGTCAGATAGAAAGAATGGATTAAATGTTGGCCATGTAATGTAATTCTTTGAGCGTATCATGTATTCAATTTGTTATCTAGCATTTATTCAATTACAGGGTTTTTATTGCTGGATAATAGTATTGAATAAACATATCCAATTATCCATAATGACCGAAGGCCCATAAGCTCTGCAAATATTTTTGGGCTGATATTGATTATTTTGAGCAGTAGATTATCGTCCTATAGAGATTTAAGGCAGATAGGTGATGCCTGGTATACTGACCAACCGGTCTATCTCTAGATTAATGCTTACTATCGAACTTTCCAGGTAAAACAACATCTCCAGATAGATGAGAAGGTGATGGACCCTTCTCCAAGGACCAATCTGGTGGAGCCATCTTATGCAGAACTGTTACCTCCACATAGAAATGTTATAAACACAGTATTAACTCTGTAGAGATCCAGCCCATCCAGTTTTCTTTTGGGAAGCAGAAACATCTTGAATCATGCTTGCTTATGTAACCAGAGGAATGAGGTCTCCTTTAAAGGTTCTATACTACACAAAATTGACTCTTGTGGGCTTTTGTGAAAGTGCTATACCTCCTCCAAAACGCCCCTACAGAATAAATAGATATTTATATAACTGTACTGTATCTATACAGTATGACGAGGCACGACTTGAAGGGAAATCTGCAGATTTACACTTTCTTATACAAGAAGAAATATATTTTATTCCTTTATAAAGAAGCATTTTATGGAGCTAAATTACTCCCTGATTGTGGGAAACATGGACTGGCATGGGCAGAGTTGTGTTTTAGTTTTTCCTCGAGTGATGCAGAAAACAGGGAGCCACTGTCTGTGTGAATGTTCATGTATGTTAGTATCGTATTTTCCGGGCTATTAGGCGCTCTGGATTATAAGACGCACTATCATTAAATGGTCTATTTTCAAACTTTTTTCACAAATAAACCGCACTGGACTTTAAATGAAACACAGCAGTTCGATGGGTCAGTTTTTGTTTGCCGTGTTCACGGTGACTCTCGGCTTTGTTCAATTCTGGCACATAGGGAGGGTGCTGTCTGGGACTGCTGGATTGTTGGCGTGTTCGCAGAAACACTGTTCAGTTATGCCTCAGAAAGGCACATTGGACTCGCTTTTTTGATTCGTTCCTTCGTGATGCGTGTCGCTGCAGGTGTTTTTCGCTGCGCGGTCGCTGTCTGCTCCGTGTGTGTTTGCGTGCGCTGCGGGTGGTGCTGCTTTGTAGTTTACTGAAGTCGTGCTGGGACACCCGAGTGGATTCGTGTATAGGACGCTCTGGATTGTGGGGCGTGCTGTCGTTTTTTGATGCGGTTAGAGGCTTAAGATCGCGTCTAATAGCCCGGAAAATACGGTATGTTACTTATATAAATATGTTCATGTATATTATCCAAATAATTCTAATGAAGGTGTATGGGGTTAAAATCTCGGCATGGTGGCTGAGTTTGCGGCATGGTGGCTGACTGGCAAGAAGGTTCTGGGTTTGATCTGCAGGTCGCCCTTTCTGTGTGGAGTTTGCATGTTCTCCCTTTGTCTAGGTGGGTTGACACTCCAGTTTCCCCCATCAGCCCAAAAACAAGCACCATAGGTTAAATCCTCCAATTAAGGCAGTCCTGACTAAGCCTAGCAATAAGATCATGATAGGTCCCTGGGCGTCCCATGTGCTGCCTACTGCTCCTGAAAAGATGGGTGAAATGTAGAGACGAATTTCCCTACAGGGATAATAAATAAGTACTACTACTACTACTACTACAACAGTGCTGCACTTCCTATATCACCACATGACATCACAAAGTGGAACAGAGTGTTTCCTTTTGAGAGAAGAACTCAGCCTTAATTAATCTGCAGGGTTTAGTTCAACATGTATAAATGAATCAAAACACAAGTCCTGGTATGTGTTTGATGAGGAAGCAACAGTATAACATAGATCAGAACATTGCGTAACACGGGCCCTTTTAACACTCAAGTCTGGCTAAAACAATGAACAAAGCAAGAACAGTGACAAAATAGTTTTATATATTTTACAATGATGCACTAGTAGTAGTTTCAATGTATTCAATTCGGCAGTTTAAAATGCATAAGCCTTCTACAGAAATGAAGCCTTCCCACACAGAAAATGTAGTCTGGGCATCTCTGCTCAGACTGCTGCCTCCACAAACCAGCTCTGGATAAAATGGAGGAAAATGATGGATGGATTCTGTAGACAGTAGACACACATAAACTCCAATACAAAATTTGCAGCTTAATGCGCTGCTTGATAGATCGAAGTAGATCTGTACAAAATGTGTCATTGGTTTTGTTGTAGAATACATTTTAACCTGAAAGTTGAAGGGAAGAGGAATGACAGTGGAGTTTTAACGCAGAAGTTTATTTACATCAGCACAGGATCCACACCCAGAGACGTGAATCCTCAACACACTGTTATAGCTTTGTCCACTCCAGTCTAATCCAGTCCAGTGTGGCTATGTTTCTATTGTAGGGAGTATTATACTAACCCAAGATAACAAGGATTGAGTTAGCAGTGAGAGCAATCGGTACAGCACAGTGCAATTTCTCTATCAGGTATAAAGTGGTTTCTTCCCACAAGCTGTTGAACAATGTGCTTTGAACTTTAATGTTGCATCAGAAGTAAAACCAACCTTGTATTTGAATGATTTATGTCTGAGCAGCAGCAGCAGTGAGTACTTCCTGATAGAATGGACTGATATCAGCTAGTACCTATCTTACTGGCAAAGTAAAATTCCGCTGTTGCTAAGAAAATAGTCCCTCAACATGCAACGATTCATGCGGTGTAAGGTTAGTTTTATTTCAGACACTATTCTATCAACACAGACATTCAAATGGACAGTTTGGTGTAATAATATTTTTGCTTCAGGTGTTTTGTGGAGTGGGTAAGACTGTTTTTAGTGGCAGGATAACTATGGCCATTGACATGCACTAGCCTAGCACCAGCGACCTCTGCAAATACAAGGACTGGATGGAATATTTTAAAAAGTGTCTCTACACATCTCCAAAACTCTGGCTCACTAGGAAATGAGGTCTTATGTCCAAAATTCGGAATTGTCCCTTTAATGATACCCATCCCTAGTCAGAATATGCATGCACCCATAATTCAATAAATGCATCTTATATAAGTTTAATGGTATATTGTGGAATATTACTGGTAAAGCAATAGCATCTCCATGGTGGCTAACCTGTAATGTTTCGCAGTGCACCATTAGGTACATTTTCAAACTATAAGTCACTCTGGAGTGTAAGTCGCAGCAGCCAAAAAATGTCTAAGAAGAAAAAAAACAGTTGCACCAGAAGTTGCACAATCAGAGACTGGGAACCGACATTTCATCTTGAAAGGCAAATTATAGTAATAACAATAGAAGAGAGAACAACAGACTGTTAATGTCACATATGAACAGTTCTTCAGATAAACTATAACATAAACAACAGAACAGAACAAGTTTACCAAACTCTCCATCTCACTCCAAATCACTAAATCCATTGAATTCTTCATACTCTGTGTCACTTCTGAGCAACTCCACGACCTCCAGAGGTAAACAGAGCGCCGCTTCCTCTTCTGCGTAGCTGTTGTCAGACTTGGCATTAGTTCCATTTAGAATTATTCCGGCCTTTCTGAATCCTCACAGGATGGTTTTGGTTGTCTTTATGTTTGTTTAAATTTTTAAATTGTCAGTGATACAGCAGTAATGGTGCAATCGACTGACATTATACAGACAGAACAGTGGCTCTTTCTCTTTCTTCTGCAGCCAACATGTGCAGTAGAGTGTGAAGTGACAGTGGTACAAGAGCACACAAACCTAGAGCCTCTGGTGGCTGTCAGTGTGAACATTTTAACATATAAGTCACACCGGAGTATAAGTCACAGAAAACACCCAAACCATGAAAAAAAGTGTGACTTATAGTCTGAAAAACACGGTAGATACTTTTTACTTTTATGTCACTACATTTGAGAACAAATGTCTCTACTTTCTACTCCACTACATTTTTTACCTGGATTGAAAAGTAAAAAGTACTTTTCATATGATTTGAGAGGTTATTTTTTACCATGGTTGTGGTGTAACATCCTGATGAAAGGTTTTCAGTTCATGCTTCGGCTAGAGAAACAAAAATTAATACACAAAATTCATATGAAAATGAAGAAATTGATTCAAAAATGCTACTGCTGACCAAAATATCTATAATTTTTAATCAGTATCAATAAATTTAATACTTTATCAAAATCTCTGTGAAAATACTTTCACTTTTTACTCTTTAAGAACAGGTAATTTAATACTTTTACTTTTGATTTTTTCATGTCATACGTTTACTTTTACTTGAGTAACTTTTTCAAGCTGTATCTGTACTTTTACAAAACTGAGTAGTTCATCCAGCACTGCATTCCAACATGCCAGAACTCCATGCTATTCCGTCAGTATAACCTTCACACTTTTATGATTTCATTCCCGGTGACACTCCGTTAACTTTTAATGGAGTTTGAATAAAACCCAGACCGAGCTTAAATGTGCCATGTCATTTTGTGCCGTATTAGCAGTGTAACCGACTCGGATGAAGCAACCCTGACTGTGTGCGCGTGTTCCTTCTGGATGGCGCTAAGATAACTGTGTTTGTGCAGGCCTTCTGGAAGGATAAAGGATTTTCCGGGGAGATAGTGACCGGAGCGTCCACTGGCTGTCCATTCTGCGTCACGCTCGATGCCACCAGCCCGTCGGGGAACCCTGCTCTGGTGGGCTTCATCGCCGGACAGCAGGCCTCGTACTGGACCAACAAAGAGGTATGGCAGACTTTTTGACTCTTGTGAGCTTTAAACTATTTTTGAATGTTGTTACCTCCTCAAAAACATACCTGGTGTTGTGTATGATAACAAAATATTGAGCTGAGCCGAAGAAAACGATCACGACGAATGTTATTCTTAAGAGGGACTGAAGGATTTTGAGCTGCGAAAAAGTTTATGATCTGAAAATACAACAAAAATCACCACAAAATTAAACTTTTTCGAAAGCTGTAGGTGTCTGGGCAGTGGAGTATGAACGGTTTGTAATTACCGTATTTTCCACACTATAGGGCGCTCTGGATTATAAGGCGCACTGTCATTAGATGGTCTATTTTCGACCTTTTTTCACATATAAACCGCACTGGACTATAAGGTGCATTAAACGAAACACAACATGGGATGGGTCAGTGGGACTTTGTTTGGCGCGTTCACGGTGACTCTGGGCTTTGTTCAGTAGTGGCGTGTAGGGAGGGTGCTGTCTGGGACCGCTGGATTGTCGGTGTGTTCGCAGTGACTCAGTTCTGTCTAGAAGTGGCACATTGCGCTAGTTTTTTCGGTTCGTTCTTCCGTTCCATTCCTCGTCTGCGTGGCTTGATGAGTGTGACTGCGGGTGTGTTTCGCTGTGCGGTCGCTGTCTGCTCCGTGTGTGTTTGCGTGCGCTGCGGGTGGTGCGGCTTTGTAGTTTACTGAAGTCGTGCTGGGACACCCGAGTGGATTCGTATATAGGTCCCTCTGGATTGTGGGGCGCGCAGTCGTTTTTTGATGGGGTTAGAGGCTTATGAGCGCCCTATAGCCCGGAAAATACAGTACATTGCAGACCTTTCTGGGCAGGAAGGATTTTTCCGATGTAGTACCAATGAGTAAGCCAACTCGAGACAGCTCTAAGGGCCTGTTTACACAAGAACACTTGCAGGTAAAAACGACAAAATATTTTATCGGAAGTGCTTTTCTTTTAGACAGTGATGGCGTTTTTGGGGCTTAAAAACGCAAAAATCTGAAACCACCCTCCAGAGTGGAAAAGTTGAATACGCTTCATCGTACCGTTTCCGTCTACACTGCCCAAGATGCAAAACTCTGGTCAGATCTGCTCAAGTCATGTACACGTTTACATCACATACATCACCATCTAGCCGCCTGGCATGCATACCCAGTCAAATTTCACACACTTTTGCATCACCGTATGCACACAGATTTCCTCCCGAAAACACTTGTCTAAATGCGGAATAAAAAGTGAAGACACACACCACTTTTGCATCTTCTGTTCAGACCGTCATCCTATAAATGTAGCCTTAGTTTTGCAATACCCTCCGTATCCAGTTATTTGAACAGATCCATGGGTAAAACTCTTCGAAATACAACAGAGAGACATAAAATGCATTTAAAATGTAAAAGATCTGGATACATTGTAATAGCAGCTCCTGGGGGCAAAATAAGTCTGGTTTGTATTGTCTGCATCAGATTATAATGCATATTACTGTTTGATAATCATGAAGTGCACACTGGTTGATCTCTTTACTGCAGGCATGTCCAAAGTATCGTCCGTGGGCCAAATGCGACCCTCAGACAATTTTTTCTTGGCCCTCAGGCTTCCTCAGGTGAATTGGCCCAAATTATCTTACATCAATTAATAATGAAGTTTTTACTGCAAGTTTTTTGAATATCTACCTTGATAAAGCCAATGTTTAATATTTAGTGTGTGGTTTTGAGGCTCTTCGCATGAATAAAAGGTCATTCTAATGTATAAAACATGCACATATTTGAATTATTCACAGTATTCAGCACCAGTCTATAGCCCTTCATTGGCCCTCTGCTTTGTCTGTGTTTAGATATGTGGCCCTTGATGAAAAAAGTTTGGACACCGCTGTTTTACCATCACGGCAAAACTCAGCTATGGTCTCTGAAAGTTGTGAAAAGCGCTGATAAATGTATGATGGCGAATAATTAGGATGCTCGGAATGCGTAAGAGAAGAGTGGAAAAACTTTGGACCACTGCAAACCGATTTTTAAAACCACACCTTAATAAATCTAATAATGTCATAAGTTAATACAGCAAAACATCACAGTCTCCCAAAACAAGGTAAAAGCAGTGCTGCAGGTAAACAGCTCTCCTTTGGTCCCAGTTCTTTGTGTATTCAGTTTAGCGTACAGCACTATTTCATGTCAGGGTCAGTGTGTTCAATGCAATGTTGATGTATTGTTTTAATTTACATTTCCAGCTCCTGCTCGGCTCCTTGGTCCTCACACTTTGCCAAAGGTTAGACAAAGTAATGCAGTATGGTGCTACCTCCAAATTCACCCATTCAGACCCAGCCATTTGAACAAGATCCTTTGCACTTTTTCAATAACTTGTCTTCTACAGTTCAAGGTCATACACAAAATGTACTCTTTGTTGTGAGCTCCATGTTATAATGTTGTTAGTGCCTCAAAAACAGACCTGGAGTTGTGTTTTGTTTCATTCTCGCACGTTTGAATAATCCACCATCATTACACTGTGTACATCTACAAAGATCAGAATGCTCTGTTCCAACTTGTGATGTCATGAAGCGGTAGTTTTCAAGTTAAGTTAGCTACCTTTTACATTTTGTTGTGTAGATATTTGCGGTTCCAGTCCTGAAATGATCTAAATGATGCTATTGAAGGTGTATGCAGTAGGGACGGGCATGATTAGTCAATTAATCGATATTTGATCATTAAGAATTTCATCGATTATGTTCATTTTAATGGACAAAGCGAATGTAGGTTGCTGTGTGTAGCGTGACCAAACAGGGGTCTGTACATGTGTCTCTGCACTCAGAAGGAGCGAGACACAAACAATCGGTCAGTCTGCAGCGTGCCGAAGCACAAATGTGTATTTAAAAATGACTTGTACAAGAAATTCCACACTTTCTGTTTCGGTCGGGACAAGTGTGAGTCCATGTGCACAGTGTACAAAGCAGCACATATGTTTCGGTGTCAAGTGTGAAAAAGCTTTGCCAGGTGAGAGTCGCGCAATGTCAATGACGAGTCCCCACCTCCCTCCCCCCGTACGGTGTCCTGGTTTTGACAAACGCAAATATGGTCACACTAACCTGTATTCCACTGAGTCGTGTCGCATCAGCGCACAAGAGCTGTTTTTTTCTTTGCTTAGTTTATGCAAATTAGCCATGCAGTTTTAAGTTTTGTTTCTGTGAGAGTTGTGCAAAGCTGCATTAAACACATTATAATGTCAAACGGGCTGATGTGGCTCTAGAGTGGTCACGGTTTATATGTCGTAAAGTTGAATTTATTTATGCAGATTAGTAGTGCAGATAGTAATAATAATGACGGTAAAATTTTAATATAAAAAAGTTAATGATTAATCTATAATCAATTGGTAATTCTCCCGACGAAAATTTAATCAAATGCCCATCCCTAGTATGGATTCTTAATTTTGTTATTAAAACTCCCCCTTTTATCCCCTAAGGAAGTGTTATACATCCTTTTTTTCAGTACAACCTGTTATTTCATAATCTACTGCTGTACTTATGTCATATGGCTGTAATAAAAGCTACAGGACCAGAAATACAAATAAAAAAGAAAACAGAAAATAAAATTCACACTCTTTCATACAAAACACACAGCAAACATGTATAAACAACTTTTTGGACATAAAAAATGCTTAAGTTAGGGCCTTAGCTACAAAAGTGCAAAATATAAAAAATAGAAAGTCTGTAAGTAAACTCAAAATATCCTTACTGCCTCAAAACAAACAAACAAACAAAAAAGTGCAATGGCCCCGTTACTTTCCTGGTGTGACACAGAGTCACTTTACTTCCTGCATTTCCATGGGGTTTATACTTTTTTATTTGTACATTTGGACTGAAATAAACCTTTCAAATAAAAATAACAAGGGATGAGCAATTACGCAGATCAAGACGTGTAATTTGCCATTTATTTAAGAAATAAACTGCACTTAGACCGACTTTTTCAATTGTTACAAACACAGACGCTCAGAGCATCTACCATTTTGACTCACTACCCTCTTTGGCAAAGTTTGGGCCAGTCAAAATGGATGGAACGCATGAGTTTGGTGGAAAAAGTTCCTATTGGACACTCATTTTCATCATCACACAGCACACGTGAGGTAGGATAATGCAAGAGATTATGCTCGAAAACCCACATCTTATCGTTCAAAGGGAAAAAAGTAAGTTTCTATTTTTTATGTTGTAAAGTTTTGCACGGTTATTTAAAACATATTCATCTGCATCATATACAACACCGCTGGTCTGGAAGGGTTAAATAAAGGTGGAACAGATTGTTTTCAGGTTGAGAGAAGAAAAGCAGGTCTGGTTGTGATTAGTAAAACTCTGCTACCACAATGATAATAAAAACACCCTTTCTTTTAGACAATATAATCTGATTTTCAGTATTAAATTGTAGTACTTTCTTTTATTTTACCATGTGGTCTTAAATGTGTGTAATCCCTCAGTGGTCCAGGTAGGTTCCATACTGGTCCATGGACGTATACTAGTCTGTCTGCTTTTATATTTTTTCTGATACAGCTCAAGATCATTCTAAAGATATTCAGGAGAGGTTCATTTCTGTCCTGTGAATGTGACTTTTTAAGCATCAGCACCTTCTCAATGAGTAACTAGTTTCAATACAGATTCATACCTAGAATACAGAATACCAATTTCCCCAAAATCACATACCCAAGACATGTGCATGGGCAGTGGTGGTCGACAGAAGTGGCATAATTTGAAGGGCAAAAATAAATAATGCTCTAAATTTGTTATTTTCAAAGGACAGACAAAAAATATGAAATCTAAATCATTTCTGAAGGAGTGGTGCAAGAAATACAAATGTTCAAATCATATTGCCAACAAGTGAGAATGTAAGAGTACTGTTTCTTCAGTGAAAACATACTCAAGGTGGAGTAAAAGTATGCTGCTAGAAAAGTACTCTGAAAAGTACAATTTCTTTTAAAAAGTCATGTTAAGTTAAAGTAAATGTAACTGAGTACTACCCACCTATGGCCATCA